GAGCTGGGACAACACGGATGCCTGATTAGCTGGGATGCAGGTGTGGAAGGGCAGGTTTGGGAATACATTGCTGTTGCAGGACAGCATGACGTTAAAAGACACGTTCCACCGGAGTCCGTTGCAGAGCAGGGCAGGCAATGTGTGCTCTTAATTGCGATGTTTATGTTCATTAACAGGAAACTCTTCCCCTCCTCATAGGTAAAAGAAGACGTGCTACCATTTGGCCTCGTCTGGGATACATCGCAGAGAGACACCAAGGCACCAAAAGAATCCACGGGGAAATCAAAAGGTCACTCAGTGTTTTATGTCACTACTTTCTACAGAAACAGCTCTCTAGAAAGTTAATGATCTTCCAAGACTTCTCATCTAACACCTGTCTCACTGTGTCAGAGGATGCATCACGGTGCGTGGGAAATGCCGCTTGTTACAGGGGCAGGAGAACAAGTGCTAGCAAAGATGTTTTAGCTGCCCAGCACAACATGGGACAGAGCCTGGTCAGGGCAAGGGTTGTTCCAGCAGTGTGTGAGGGGGATATTTTGCAAGGCTCAGCCACAGGACTGGACAAGTAGCCAACAGCGAGATGAGTCTGAGGCAGTACAGGGGTCTCTCCAGTACAGATCGGTTCACGTCTGCACGCTTCTGGATTTGGGACTGACTGATTGGTAACACAGGGCACATGTAATACAAACCATCAGCCTTTCCCCGCGCTCCCAGTATGCCAAAACCAGTTTAGATCGATATGAAAAACATATTTAAGAGGTTTCTCATTTGTCACCGGGGACAGGAATTGGCCAGGTGCTGGGTTGAGGATCACAGCTGGCCTGGGAGGGAGGGGAGGACAGCAGATCTGCTCTTCTCATCAGGGAGACAGTTCCCACTGCTGGTCCTAAAACCAGAAGGCAGAGGAAGATACAGCAGCAGCCACGCCAAAGGGCAGCTCCAGGATGATGGCAGCGCTGTCCTGCTGGGAGTCAGCCAGGTCTAAGGCCTGAGACAGACCTGCCTCAATCTGCAGCTCGGCCTCCCAGGCATTGCAGCACAGCAAACAGCAAATAATCCAGAAATCCCTCTTAAATCTTCAGTTTGACACTGGTGCTGCAAACGTTAACTGCTTCCAGCCCAAAGAGAGAGGCTGGTGCCTACCTTCCACACATCCCGAGTGAGCGGGCATCACCGCTGCCTGCCCTGGGGCTGGGAGGAGCACACAGCAGCACCCCAACTCTTCTCAGGCAGCTAAAGTCCCGCAGCCCCTCTCACCCTCCCCTCCAAAGGCCGCTCTCTCTGGGGTACCGTGAGCCCTCCGGCAAGGGGCAAGGTGTGATGAATCCATCACACCCCCCCAGCAGGCAGCGGGGTCCGGCAGGTGCGTGTGCCCCCAGCCCAGCGGGCGCACGACCAACTTTCGGCAGGGTAGGATGGAGGGGTGAGTGCAGTCAACACAAACACTCAATCATCCTTCCTTTCTTTCTTCTGTGCCTCCTTTGTTAACTGCAGGAAACAGCTGAAAGACCTTGAGTTTCCCATTGTAGCATGTATGGGAACAGAGCTGCAGTGATCAGAACATACCCCCCGCTGCTCCCGGGGAAAAAGGGAGAGCAGAATCCTTTCTAAAAAGGGTTTACGATTAGAAGAGTGTTCTGTCACTCTGGCGCACAGTAATCCACTGCGCCACCAAGTCCCTTCAGAGAGATGTCGAAAACTTAAATGACTGAAAGCAAAAGAGCCCCGGCTCAGGTTCCCAGGCAGCCAGACATCCTAATTATCTTTAGATCCACTC